TTTAACTTTTTTTCTTTTTGGATGTGATGACGTGTTAAGAAAAGAAGGGTTTGAGTGAGTGCATGTGGCCAGCCATGGCTCACATGAGCTGAGCAAAACTAAAGCTGCCATGCATTTTGGGTATTTTTTAAAGATTAGTACTAATTGCAAATCAATTTGAAGTGAGTTTATGTTAGTGATGTTTGGTAGGCAGTGGATCTAATATTTGACTTTGTCAGCTGTTTAATCATTTTAATGAATTAATTAGAAGACAAAAGAAAAGAGTTTAATTAAGAATGATGTCTTATTGTTAGTTGAGTATCAATGTGCTTAAATATTATATATGGTAGGTGCTAATGACATGTAATTAAATGTATTAAGCATCATTTGCCATAAAAAAGTTATTGAGCATCATGTCAATCACACTTTAACAAAGTGATTAATTAAACGAGCGATTGAAATTGTTTGCAAATCAACAAATGGTATGTGGTGGTGTGCAATAAGGACATTTAACTTCAAAAAGAAGATACATTTTTTTAAGTAAATTTGATTATAAATTCTATAGTAAAAAAATTATTTTTTCTTTTTAAAATTTCTTATATTCATTTTAAGATTCAAATTTAAGACTTTTAATAAAAAGACTTATCTAAAGCCTAGGGGATGATATATATATATATATATATATTTTGCATTAACCTCTCAATATCCAGAAATTACATTCGACCTTAACTAATTTAAAATCGAGTTGTATCGGATCAAATAAAAAAGAAGCTCGTCCAACACCTGTTTGTCCATTTATAAGATTCAAATTTGAAACCTTATATAAGAAAAATCAAATTCTTTAACAAATCATTGATCTAGGAAATGATATGTCTCATTTTTTTTTTTTTTTTGAAATAATGATATGTCTCATGTTAATGGTTGGAAAAGATAAATCCTTTTTCTTTTTCCTTTATTTTTTCATTTTAATTTTTCCCGCCAGGCCTGATGCATCGGACCCTGAGAAGCCCATCTTTATGCAAACCTAAATCGGCCTTTTGGGCCCACATTAATAGCCCATTTTATAGGTCAAGATATTTGGGCCTAGTCGACATAATGAGCACGTGGCATCCACGTGTATGGACAACCACGAGCCGACGGAACCTTCCTCCGATCTCCGAAGAAGACATCTCCAGCTCAGTGCATGGGACAATCCTCAGCAACTTCCCTCGTTTCCTTAGCCCCGGCGCGTGATCACGGACCGACACGGCGATCATTTTCAGTTAATTATTTCAATTTCATACGGTTTCCGGTCGTTGATTCCGGGTTTCCATTGATCTCCCTCATTTCAAATCTCCATCAGCTCATCTTAGCTACATTCTTCTGTAAGTTCTTGATTCTAGCTTCTGATTTTTTTCTTCACTTAATTAATTTTTCTCATTGATTTTTATTGCTGAATACTTCATATAATTTGGTGTTATGCTAATTTAGCAAGATCCGGATTGGATTTTAGACCCTGAAAGTTCATAGTTGTTACAGTAAACATCATTTTGCTTCACTTTCGAGCTTAAAAGAGTCACTTTTCTTGGGTTCTATTGTTGAAAGATTCAATCTTTAGCGTTTTGTGGATACCCTTTTTGTGTTTTGCAATTTGGAAGGTTTGCTGAGGTGATTGTGTATTTGTGTTGTTGTTAGTTTTGTGTTTGATAAACTTCTCATGATTCTTTTTTGTTTAGTCTTATATCATGAGTTTAATTAATTATTTTTGGGGTTTAATTTTTAGGTTAGAAGCAGTACCATGGTGAAGGACACTACATACTATGATATATTGGGGGTGAAGGCTGATGCCTCCCCAGCTGAAATCAAGAAGGCTTATTACCTCAAGGTAAGATTTCCAAATAATCTACAGATATTACAAGGAAGAAAATGTTTCTGTTTAAGTATGGTACTAATTTTTCTTTCTCATATTTTTTTGGGTTTTTGGGTTTTTCCCATTTTGGCAAGAGAAATGGGATTATGGCTGCTATTGTTGGGGAGATAGAAAGACTTGACTCCCCTGAGTCTTTTAAAAAAGGAACAAACATTGGTTTTCTTAGATTTCCTGTAGTTTGGCTCAATTTGTTTCTTGAAATATTGTCATAATGCTTCTGTATAGTAGAACTCCTACTTCCAACATTGAATTGTATTTGTAACTGTATTTATATGGATGGGCTTCCTTGGCTGTCACTTTTTGTTTAAGAAAACTTTGGTGCTGAGGAATTTGGAGGGAAAAGATTCTCTGCAATGCATTGAGATTATAATAAAAATAATTTGTTTATGTTATTGGAGTTTTCTCCTGCATATGTAATGCTCTCATGTGCTCTTTTCTCCAGGCAAGGCTAGTTCACCCAGATAAAAACCCTGGAGATCCAAAAGCTGCTGAAAATTTTCAGGTAAGCTATCTAATACTTCTTAGAATGATAAAAGTAAATCTTACAATTTGGTTAGGTCACTTTGATATTGAACATATTCATTTTTCAAAGAGGAAAGAGGGACTTTCCAAAGGTGCCATTGCAATAACATGTTAGAATCACAGAGAGAGGGTTGGGAGGGACAGGGAAGGAGTTCTCAATTGAGATGAATGGGAGTCTTATTTGCTCAATGGCTGTATTCACATAACAAGTTAATAAAGAACCAAGGGATGCCATTTGGTTCTCAATAAATTGACTTGATGCCCCTTTCATACAAAATAAAAGAAAAGTTTCATAGAAAAAAACTGCTCCATTTCATTATCAACAATGTATCAAGCTTCAATTCACCCCACTTCTTTGCACTTAGATTGGCATATTAATGGTAATTTTTACCCTACACAATCTTTTCCCTCTCATAGTTTCTCTTATTGTGGAAACATGTTATCCTGCTCAAATAGGTTGAAATATATGTCAGAACTTCTTGGGATGACCTTTATGGTGTTCAGTTTACTTTATTAATTGATCTGATTTGATGCTTATAACTACAAAGTTCCAATTAGTATTTTCTTATCCTTCTTTTCAGAAATGTGCGTTTCATCTTTCTAGAATTAATTTGGTTGGTCATAGAATTGAGGAGCCATTAAAAAGGAAGTTAGAATTTCTTTGCTAAAGAGCTCACCTTTTTGCATATTTTCTTTTTTTCTGGTACTCATTTTCTTTGTTTTGATGCATGTTAAGGCTCTCGGGGAGGCATATCAGGTTCTAAGTGATCCCGAAAAGCGTGAAGCATATGACAAGAATGGAAAGGAAGGAGTTTCAACGTAAGTCTATATGCTTTTTTAATGGCTTTGAGCTGTCATGTTCTCAAAAATAACAATAGCTCTTTAGGTGGCTAATTGCTTAACATTGTTTTTGGTTCTTTTGGAACACAACATTTGAAAAGAACTCCTTTACCCACTACCATACATACACTTGCATAAGAACTTTTTTGTGCATTCCTAGTAGGTGTTTCCTTTTGTCTGTAGAATTTGCAATCAAATCATCTTATGTCACCACCGTGGAGATAGTGAGAAAGCTCTTAAAGTTGAATCTGAAATAAGAATTTGACTGTAAATTTCAAAATAATGTAAATTAGTTAAAACTTGGACATCATAGGCATGCAGAGGCTGACAAGGATGTGGATGAAATACCCAGCATGGGCATTATGGGCTGAAACCTAGCATGGGGCTTTACTCTTTGGAGAAATATGGTTTAAAAGCTTTCGTTTTGTCAAACCTGTTAAGTTGGTATCAAGGTAAATGGTGTGAAGTATTCATGTAGCCAACTCCTTTTTTTTTGGGACTAAATATGACTTAAGAGAGTGTTTATATAATCCTTTTCTCACCCACCATATATAAACGAAGGAAAAGAAAGAAATTAGATTATTAGATGCTGATGATAGTAATTAGTAAATCCTAAAGTCTCTTCAGATACCCCCTTGATATAGAGTTCTGCTCGTGAGGTTTATCAATCAAACAGACTTCATATTCTTCTTGGCATATGCTCATTGTTCCAGTAGAAAAGTGAGATAGGTTCAGTTGTTTAAGTAATTAATCTTTTGTAGGGACTCCATGTTGGACCCTTCAGCTGTGTTTGGGATGCTTTTTGGAAGTGAGTACTTTGAAGATTATATTGGACAGCTAGCTTTGGCTTCTCTGTCATCTGCCGAGTTTGATGATGAGTCACAGGACCCTGAAGTTAGTAAGCAGAAAATTGGGGAAAAGATGATGGTGAGAATCTTTTTGATGAGTTTTCTCAAATCTGTTCCTTTGTACAGTCTAATGCACTGATGTTTTGTCTCTTTCCTGGTGTGCAGACATTTCAGAAAGAAAGGGAAGAAAAGCTTATCACAATACTGAAAACCCGCCTCGAGCCATTTGTTCAAGGTCAAATAGATGAGTTCACACAATGGGCAAATTCAGAGGCAAGGCGACTTTCCACAGCTGGTAAATCAGTACTAGTGGAACCCATGTCTTTATTTAACTTCCTATCTATTGCAATTTGCATTAAGTCATTAACTCCATGTTTCCACCATCATCAGCATTTGGTGAGGCTATGTTACATACCATTGGCTACATTTACACAAGAAAAGCAACTAAGGAACTGGAGAAGGTTGACAAACGGTATATGAAGGTACCATTTTTAGCAGAATGGGTACGAGACAAAGGACACCGCATAAAATCACAAGTAATGGCAGCTTCAGGTGTCTCTCTCTACCTTGTGTGATAGGTGTTAAGGTGTTTCCATCTTGTCAGACCTTTAAAATTCAAAATGAACCAGATCACAGCAAAAGCCATAATACATCTCCTTTCAGGTGCGGTGTCTTTGATTCAGATACAGGAGGAGCTGAAGAAGCTGAATCAAGGAGAAAACGGAGAAGAGAATTTACTGAAAGCCATTGAAGATAAGAAGGAAGCCATGCTTCAATCCCTCTGGAAAATCAATGTGGTTGATATTGAGTCAACGCTATCTCATGTCTGCCAAGCAGTGAGTTAAAATATTTCCATATTGATTTATGATGTTGGGTAATTTGAGCTATGGATGGCATGATGGCTCTGAATTTTTTTTTTTTTCATATGATATCAACTGAATTTGACATGGAGTAAATTGCTCGGCTACTAAGCTACTAATACATAATCTTCTGCCATGTTTGAGTTGTAATCATTAACTCGTGTGAAATTTATCATAAACCGACTGTAGTCATACACTGAAATTTTTAGTGGTTGATAGACTTATAGATTATATACACATTCAGAAGCCCTGTTGCACTTCCAAAAAATGATTTCACTCTATGCTGATTTCTGGGGCAGGTACTTAGAGACCCTAGTGTATCACAAGACGTTCTGCTTGCACGAGCAACGGGATTGAAAAAGCTTGGAACTATTTTCCAGGTAAGCTGATTTCCCTTCCATGAATTTCAGCTTGATTATGACTTCAGTTCCAAAATTGATTGTGGGACACAGATTCTGCTTCTCAAAATAAGTAGTTAATCTAATATTCCACTTTTGGGACCATACTAACCAAGAACACTATCCCCTTCTCAGGGTGCCACGGCAGCTTACAGTAGAGAATCCAGCCTACGCCGTGAAAGTGACGAGAAGATAGATGCCAGTTCCTCATCTTAGCTGTCTTTGTATTTGCTCAATCTTTTTTATGCGTGCAATGTTTCAGATGTGGTTGGTCGAATATCTGTGGCTTTATTACTCTTATCAACAGTATTGGTTGAACAATTGCATGTAACATGGTAATTTGGAAGACGTGCTGTAACTGTATGTATATGTACTCTCCACGTAGTTATGGTAATTAGACCATTTTCGTTTTCATGTGGAATCAAGAAAGCCGGTGGGAAATTCTCAAGTTGATAAAAAATTTTGTGCACTAAATCCTTTTATGCTCGGGTGCAAGTTGCTTCTCAAAGAGCTTTTTTCCTCTCGGCCCCCTCAAAAATCTGGTGGAATAAGTGGTCCTCTTGGTGATTTGTCCACTGATCCGTATAACAGCTGCGTAAGAACACATCATCAGGTTGGGGGGGATTTTTTTTAAAAAAATATATTTTAATCAGCAAAACTACCATCAAATTATTGGATAGAGCCACCATCTCAGTGTATGTCTTCTTCTAAAGGAAAAGCAAAATGAAAATAAGACGCATGTAAAATGCAGTTCAAAATCAAGAAACTGAATGCACTTCCACATGAGGCATAAAAGCGGATGATTCCATAAACCCATTATAATGATTCCAAGGAATCCAATAAAATCAGATGAATTTTGGGTCAGATTCCAATATTTCTTTGGACACAAAAGAGATGTTGAAAAATCAAATTCTCCAATTGCCATTTGCAATATTACCAAGTACTTTCTTCCTCAATTTTCTTTGGAAACAAACACAGAAAGAAAACTACCGTGATAGTAGTATATGATTGTGGTAATCCCCTTTTGTTAGAACTCTCTGAATTCTTTTCATTTGTTAATCCAATCATTTCAAGAAGGGTTGACCAATTGCTGAGTGCAGAGAAGGAAAAGAGGTCCTTGCCTTGTTAGATTAGGAGAGCTGTCCAAACACCACTTTATTAAGGAATTCTTTCTCATTTTAAACCCCACAGTGCTTTCTCTTTATTCTCCCACCAATGTCCCCTTGAGTTGTATTTGGTACATTGTCCTTGTCCTTAAGGTTAAGGATAATTGTAACCACTTGTCTTCCACAAACCCTTTTTTAAGACAAACCTAATCTATCTCTTCTTTGGCACCACTATCAAGGGCAAGCAAAACCCATAATCACCCAATATTTTCTTCTCAAGTTTCCAATTTTAGTCCTTATATAATTATTAATTTCCAGAAAACTGAACCCAGAATTGCTCCCAAAATTTGACATTTTTGGCGGTATATTGTATGTTTCATAAGGCTCTTTTCTTAGGATTTTTTTTTAACTTTTTGTGTTTTTAAGTTCATCAATTGTTATAGAAAAAAATAAAAATTATCTTTAATTTGATCAACCATTCAATTAAAATTGTACATGTCATTAAAATTGAAATTAATACTAATTTTTGTATTTATCTATGCAGATTAAAAAAAATACATTAATTTACTTTAAATTTGTACTCTTAAAATATAAATTAAACAAACTTTTTTTTTTTTGTTTTTATGTCTAATAATAAAGCACCATACAACAAAGAATAACGCCTCTGCACAGTCCCCCACCACAGCTGTTGGCACTTTTTTGTTTGTTCCACATTCACATGGGTAGGAATTTTCTCTCCTAATTTGGAAATTTTTGCCATCATTAATTGGATGAAAGGTTTTCTTTTCTCCTTTTTTTTTCTTTTTTTTTTTTTTAATTCCAGTGGACGTCATTAATGAAAACTGTTACTATTTAATACGAAAATTAATCCACTAACTTCTCAGACTTTTTTTTGAGGAAGACTACTCAGACTTTAGTGCATGCTCTCTCCAACAGCAAAGTGGTCTTCCCTCACCTTTTTCACTTTCGAAATTTTAAACCTAAAAAAACCACGAAGATTGCATTCTTTATTTCCTTTACAATCTCTTTTTAAGTTTAATTATCCCTTAATTAAGCCTGACACTAGTGCCCAGTGAAATTCTCTGAGCAACTTTAATGTTCTTAGAGCTCAATAATATCATTCCCATCTCTTGAATCCTCAACAAATTAAGAAAATGGGTTTCATGTTTGTGAAGAAGATGACTTTACTTTTCCTCCTGGTTTCAGCTTTTCTTTTCTCAGCTTCTTTTGCAGCTGGTGGGTTTAATTCTCTTCTTCTTGGTTCTCTCTCTATCATGTTGCTGCAGCTTTTTCTGCACGCCTAAGAAGCTTTAAAGATTATTCAAAGTTGAAAACTATATATTAAAGACAATGTTTGCTTAGAAATATGATACATTTGTAACATCTCTTCCTTCGATACCCTTATGTTAGGGTTTTGTAGAAAAGTGACTTGCATGTTCATGAATCATGACATGTTTCTTAATTGTGTTTCACAGACCCAGGATCAAAGTTTCTGAATAGAGAAGATGAGGAAGTATGGGATGTAATTACTTCTAAGGTAT